TACTAAAGATGCTAGAAGGAACTGTAAGTGCCATTTTACACTTAGGATTATAGCCTTTGCTCATGGATCAACTGGATTGGATGGAAATCTCACTACTCTGTTATCTATGAATAAATTCACTGGTTGTTAATTGGAAGTAACAATACTTCACTAGTTATTAACAGTTTGGTTTAGTATATCATTTTTTTTTTTTTACCTGTGGTGCTTTTTGTTGACCTAGGTTGTCAATGTTCCTGAGAAGGGAGCTAGAAAGCACCCCAGAGGTGAAAATATTCAGGTATGGTTGCTGTTATTTAGATTCTAAACTTTGCTGGGCACATCAATAAAACACCTGCATGCTCTCTTTTCAAGATTTGTTTGGGACTGCTCAATGGCAGTCTTTTAATTTATTCTGAGTGGTTTACTTTTGTTGGCTGAAACCCAGTTTGTTATCCTTCTTTGTGTCTGTTTTAACACAGATTGACACAAAAAATATTCTCTTCATATGTGGGGGTGCCTTTGTTGACATAGAGAAAACAATCTCAGAAAGGTAATCCTAATAAAGAATTTAGAACATTTGTCTCTCTAGGATTCTTTTAGAATGCAGCTTGTTTTTTTTCCATGTATATTAAAAGAACTTTGAACACTTTCCAGGCGTCATGATTCTTCTATTGGATTTGGTGCTCCAGTGCGTGCAAACATGAGAGCTTCTGGTGTGACAACTGCTTCTGTAGCATCATCCTTAATGGAGACCGTAAGTACTCTTCAGTTTTCATTATTACTATCCTTAATAAAGCATTTTAGATATTTTACATGCTATATATACTCCTTGTTGGCAGGTTGAAAGTAGTGATCTCATTGCTTATGGTTTGATACCTGAGTTTGTTGGACGCTTTCCAGTTCTTGTTAGCTTGTTGGCACTAACTGAAGATCAGCTCGTGCAGGTGATGCATTTTAATTTCTTCTTTTTCTTCTTTTTCTCGTCTATAAATAATATTTGATTCTGGAAATTAAATAACATATCTCCCTTTCTTTTTCTGTCTCATTCTACTGGTTTCTTATAGAATGATGAAAATAATATGAAATGTTTGTCCATTGGCTTCAAGCTTTACCCCTTTTCTATTTGTTTATGCAAATTCATGAGTAAATAGGTTTTGCTTTCCATACTTGATTCTTTATTCTTTTTCCCCTTCTTCAAGTTAGCATCTTACATGATTCCTTTCTGACATAAATGTTTTGTAGGTACTGACAGAGCCGAAAAATGCTCTAGGCAAGCAATACAGAAAGATGTTTCAAATGAATGGTGTAAGTTATTTTTTAGGCTTCCCATTCTTCCAAGAATTAGTACTAGAATATTAAAGCAGTTTTTTTAAATGAATTTCATCTGGGCTTAGTAAATTCAACTTTTCTGCAAAGATGACTTATCTACAGCCATTTAATTTCATTGTGTTCTTTCTGTTCTCAGGTCAAGTTGCATATCACAGAAAATGCTTTAAGATTAATTGCCAGAAAAGCAATAAATAAAAACACTGGGGCCAGGGGCTTACGATCCATTTTAGAGAACATCTTGATGGATGCCATGTATGAGGTATGTTGTTTATGGCCTTACAGCTGGAGACCTTTTTTGAGATTTTCTTGATTAGGATAAAAAGTCATTTGTAGTTGATTTGTGCTTGATGTTGCCACTATCTTTTGTCTGCCCTTTAAGAATTTCTCATGGGTGAATCTTTTGGTCTTTAAGAGATAAACTTGGCCGACTTTGGATTAATCTGATAAAAATAACCAAAGACCGTTTTCATTTTGCCTATTATTCTCGCGTCACTTAAATGAAATATGTTTTAGCTATAACCATAATGAACATGAGCAATTCTATGAAATTTCCTCTGAATTTTCGTACTTCTTTATAGTCGCTCCGACATTGCTCTCCAACATAGGATGGGACCTACCTCATGTCATGTCCCATAGGCTTGGTCCCATATTCATTGTCAACTAAATCTCAATTGCGTCCTAACTAGTTGTTTGTTTTGACTTTTGATCTTTTCCCATGGTCTATTTTTCTATTTTGTTCGGCGTGGAGTTGGTAGTTTTTCACCATTTGTTATTGATTTATTGGTTGATTGGGAAAACATCACTTCAACCACCCTGCAACCTCCATTTTGGTATCTTTCTTGTAGATTCCTGATGTCAGGACCGGCGATGATATAATAGATGCTGTAGTTGTTGATGAAGAGGCCGTCGGAACAGAAGGTCGAGGAACCGGAGCTAAGATTCTATATGGTAAAGCTGCATTGGACAACTACCTTACAAAGCAAAAATCAAACAACTTAGAGGTATGACTTGAGAGAGAGAACCTGATGTATATGTACTATCTATGAAAATCCCCTCACACCCCTCCATAATGCTTCCATTAATGTCTCTTTATTGTGATGCAGATGCAGACATCATTGGATGGAGAAGCTGAGGCTGAACCGGAGCTTCCTTCTGTTGTTGCCAGCATGTAATCAAATTGGATGATTTGTAGATTTGTAACTTTATTGTACATATAAACCCCATTAATAAGTAATCACCCAATAGATTGTCATAATGTATGCCACTTTATCATTATATTCTTACATGATCATGCATCATATTTCCCACGTGCCAACATCTTTTTTTTTTTTTGGTTCAACCTTAAAGTTTTGAAGGCAGAGACCTTGAGGTTGTGGATCTGATTCTTGCAAATGATGAGTCTCTGGTAGTCATTCCCGGTTACTTTGGAAGAGTCTATTTGCCCTAAAATTCACCATTTTAAGTTCTATAGCAATAAAAATAACTTCTAAATGAACATTAAGAGTATGTTTGAATAAATATTAGTAAAGGAAAGGAAGAAGATTGTTAATGCTAATTTTGTTCGAAAAAGTAAAAGTAAAAGAATTGAGATAATAATATTTTTATTTAATAAAATAAAATAAAATTTTTAATATTATTACTTAAATAAATAATTGAAATCAAATATTTGTTTATATTTATTTTTTAAAAGATTTTAAAAAATAATTAGACATTAAGTCCATGCCAATTCTTCTAATTTATAAGAATGGAAAACGGAGGTATGAAAGAGCTCCATCTTCTTTCATTAAAAAGTTAATTCAAACAAAAAATAAAGAAAGAAGAATCTCTTTTCATTCCCCTCCAAATCCCAATCCAAACACACTTAAAAAAAGAAACACTAAATTTGAACTTACATTCAATCCAACTTTTGCTTTTTTTTTTCTAAAAGTAAAAAGTAAGAATTAAATCTAAATTTATAACTAAGAATACTCTACTACTAGATTATATAATTGATAAATTGATTCAACTTTTTTTATCTAATTAAATAAGAATAGTGTTGAATAATCTTAACATTCTACACTTGAGCTTATACCTTTGTAAAAATATATGTTTTGTATAAGAGCAGAAGAGACAAATTCGAATCTTCTTGCTTGGTTGAATATAAACTATAAATTGCTTGCTTGAATATAAACTAAAAATAGAAATGTTGTGTAACCACAACTCCATTAAACTGGCAAAAAAATAAAAACAAATCTTTTATACGAGAGCCTCTTCTCCATGCAAGGATGCTTTTTTACTGTTTAAATTAACCAAAAAAATCCCAACATTTTTTGGAATGTTTCTCTTGTTGTTTTTTTGTTTTTATGCTGTTGTTTCAATCTCAGTTTGTTTAATCGTTTGATGTTGGAAAAACCCCATGATCCATCCGATTTGAGTCGAATTCCCGTTGAAAATAAAGCTTGAATTTCAACGGCGACCCTTGTCTCTCTCTCTCTCTCTCTCTTAGCTCTTCCTACGTATGTATAAAATTAGAGAGAGAGTAGGTTGGGAGTGGGACATGGAGAAGGGAGGAAAAAACAAATTAAATTCACGGAAAAAGGTAAAAGGAGCCAACCAAGAAAGGAACCTCCGTTCTTTCTAGAAGAAGGACATCATACAACAGGGTCTCCTTGGTTCCCTTTGCTGGAATCCATTTCTCTCCAGCCCCCCTTCTCCTCTCCCTCTCCCCTCCTCTCCTCTTTCTTCTTCATTTTTTTTTTTTTTTTGGAAAATTATTGATTTTTTTTTTTTTTTTTTTGGTCCATGGAAAATTATTGATTGAGAAGAAGAGAAGGAAACGGAAGAGATTTTTTCTTCTATTTTTTGGGGGTTTTGAGGGAGAAAAGGGAAAAAAGGAAGCATTTTGAGATTCTGGGTTTTTATTTTGGGGTTTGATTGATTAATTTATGGAGTTGGACAGCATTGAGTGTGTGTCATCTGTAGATGGAATCGAGGAGGATGAGATCCATCACCACAATCCCCACCATCCTCTTCCTCATCACCACCATCAATTCCCTACATCCAAGACTTACAATGCCACCAACGGTATTTTGGGTCCGACGGCGATTGCTCCGGCCACCAGCGTCCATGAGCTGCTAGAATGCCCCGTCTGCACCAATTCCATGTACCCACCAATCCATCAGGTCTGTTCCCTGTTTATTTCATTCCATTTTCTTGAGATATATGTGTGTAACTAGTTGTTTACTTGAGAATTGTGTTGATTTTCTGCATTTTGGCTGATTTGCTCAGTTTGATGGATCTGGGGTTGGTTTGAGTGGATTTGCAGAATTGGGTCTTGCAGAACCTGATGATCTGTGTTCTGTATTTGTTGGATTTCATTTCCATATTGTTAATTCAAACTTTTGGTCTTATTTGATGGTTTTTAGTTGCTTTACAGGGATTAATTTGAGATTGTTACTTAGGTTGGATTTATGAACATTGTGCCACTCTCTATGTTGTCTCCCTTTGTCAGCAAAAATGCTAGAAAATGGAAGAATATCATTTTGTAGATTTTTCCATATGATACATGCTGTGTTTCTGATGATAATGCTTCAAGAGATGGCCTTTTTATTGGGGAGACTTAAGAAATTTAGAACATCCTTGAGTATGTGAATCGTGGAGGGATCATGCACTACTTCTTATTGGAGATAGAGAATCAAAGGTGAATGGCAGAACGCAATTCGTGCCAAAGTTGTAGTTTGACACATCTTCTCCCTGTGTTCCGTACAGTTAGATGCTATTGTCGTAAAATCCAGAGGACCTCTGTGGGCAGAAAGTAATGTAAAGCGTGGAAAGGATGGAATTCCTTTCAATTAGAAGTCTTTTTCATTCTTCTGAATAGCTAATATAGAAGGTATCTACTTCATTTTTGGTCGGACCAGCTGTATTTGTAGTCATTAAGCTGGGATTTAGGTTGAACTGAACAAAATAGTTTAGCTAATATTGTCCCTACTATTTTAGTTGGTGGATAGAAATTTGGAATTTATGATGGTTCTTGTCAATCATGGAGGATCAAGTGATGAACTGCCTTTTATAACATAATAGTTTTTTTGCAGTGCCATAATGGGCATACACTTTGCTTTACCTGTAAAGCAAGGGTGCACAACCGCTGCCCGACTTGCAGACAGGAGCTTGGAGATATTAGGTGCTTAGCATTGGAGAAGGTAGCCGAGTCACTTGAATTGCCCTGCAAATATTACAATTTGGGATGTCCAGAGATATTCCCTTATTACAGCAAACTCGAGCACGAGACAGTTTGCAACTACAGACCATATAATTGCCCATATGCTGGATCCGAGTGTGCTGTCGTTGGTGATATCCCTTTCCTGGTTTCCCATCTGAGGGATGATCACAAGGTAGACATGCATAGTGGATGCACTTTTAACCATCGTTATGTAAAATCAAACCCCCGGGAAGTAGAGAATGCAACTTGGATGTTAACGGTAAGCAGAAGTTTCTTCTTTAATGGAGGCATTCGTTCCTTTAGTTGGACTTAAACTCTGTGCCATCCTTTTATGAGAAACAAAAGTAAATAAAGGCATTCGCCAGAATATATTGCAAAAACCAGATATGATATGCTATATTTCACTTTGGAATGAAGCCTGTGGACAAAGTCACTAGTTACTTGAAACAAAAATATGGACATGTTAAAATTCTGAATGGTCAACTTTTCCTTTACCATGAAAATAATTCATGCTGGTTCATGTATGCATTAGTTTTATTTCGCCAGTTTCCTTGCTCTTATAAACCTATGCTGACATTCTTTTGCTCCCTGCCAGGTCTTTCATTGGTTTGGTCAGTATTTCTGCCTTCACTTCGAAGCCTTCCAGCTAGGCATGGCTCCTGTGTATATGGCATTTCTTCGTTTTATGGGTGATGAGGCTGAAGCTCGGAACTATAGCTACAGCCTTGAGGTTGGAGCAAATGGCAGGAAACTTATATGGGAGGGAACCCCGCGAAGCATCCGGGACAGCCACAGGAAAGTTAGGGACAGCCATGATGGTCTAATCATCCAGCGTAACATGGCACTTTTCTTCTCTGGTGGGGATAGGAAGGAGTTGAAGCTGAGAGTTACAGGAAGGATATGGAAGGAACAACAAAATTCAGATGCTGATGTGTGCATACCAAACTTGTGTAGTTGAGAGTTGATTTTGATGATTTATTTTAATCTCTTCTTAAACGCTGTGTGTTGCATCTCTGCCAAGTTTTTTCTGGTATACCATGACAGGTCGGCTTGAAAGTTTTCAGCTTCTGTTGCTTGTCTAATAATCAGAGTCTCTTCCCTAACTTTCCCTTTGTCATTTTAGTTAGACACCTGAATACAGCCCATGAATCCTTCTATTTGATGATTTGCTAAAAAAAATTGAATCATTTGTTCTAGAATTGAAATTGTAAGAACATGCTAGCATTTAACAGGAAAACATGAATACTATTTCAATGATAAAAAGAAAAAGGACAATACTTCAATTCTCAAGCAGCTACCTTGTCATTATTTTCAGATTCTGTTTCATCAGAATGCTCACTCTTGATTGTATCCTCGACTGAGTTTGAATCAGCAGTGGCAGATTCTACAACAGTAGCTTCCTCAACAGCTTCCTTATTAGCAGTTGCTTCATTTGCAGAGGCATCATCAACGGCACTCCCTGAGGCCAAAGGGGATTCTGATTTAACCTCCTTATTTCCAAACAACTTAGAGGGGAGCAAGGTAGCAACAGCAGCTCTTGCACTCTTCTTGGCTGCTTCAGCTGCCTCAGCCTCTCTGGCCTTAGCTTCAGCCTTCTGCCTCTCTTTATCCTCCATAAGCTTCGTCAAGTCTTCTGCTCTTCCTTCCTTTCCCAATTCCTCTTTAACAAACTCCTGCAATTCCTCACTGAATTCAGCTCCTTCATCCAATATCCCATCAACCATTTTTAGAACATCATCTAATCTCCCCACGTCACTCAGCGTCTTCGTCATAAACTTATAGCTTGCATCATCCATCTTGAGCTTCTTCACCATCATATCGTAGAATGATTTTGCCTCGTCAATCTTGCCCACTTTAACCAACTCATCAACCAGTCTATTGTAAACCGCCAAGTTTGGCCTCAGACCTGATTCTACCATCTTTCTAAAATATGCAGCCCCATCATCAATCCTCTCCACCTTAAAGCATGCATCCATCAACAGAGCATAAGTATATTCATCAGGATTCACACCCTTATCACCCATTTCTCCGTAAAGCTCTTCAGCTTCAACCAGCAACCCGTTTTTGCACAACTGATCAATCAAATTATTGAAAGACAAAGTATCTGGACTGCACCTATAATCACCCATCTTCCTAAAAACCTCAATGGCATCCTTAAACCTCCCTTCCGCACAATATCCATCAGCAATCACATTAAAGCTCCCCAAATTCACAGCCAATCGCCTAGGCGGATTATGCTCATTCCTCATCCTATCAAACAGCCTCAAAGCTTCATCAAACTTTCCATTCTTGCTCAAGGCATCGACCACTGAATTGTAAGCAACAGCACTCATTTTCACCTTTGAATTCTCCCCACAAGCCTCGTCATAACATTCCATAGCCTCTTTCTCCATCCCTCTCATGAAATGCCCCTTCATCAAGCTCCCATAGACCACCCCATCATGGACAAACCCACCTTTCTTCTCCTTCAACTCCTCATAAAGCCTAAAAATCTCATCTGCATCCCCATTCCTAGCAGCACCCAACATCAAATAACTATACGCAACTGGGTCCGCATCCAAAACCTTCTCACCCATATCCTGCAACAACTCCATGGCCCTCTCTAACTTCCCATTATCCACCAACCCCTTCACCAAAATTCTGTAAGTTGTAGGGGAGGGATTGACTGGCGAGTCATTGATGAACTGCTTGTAATGCTCCATAGCAGTATCCGGTTTTCGACAGTCGAGATAGGTCTGAAAAATCAGGTTATAGGTGATGACATTGGGAGCGACGCCAGCTTGCGTAATGAATCGATGGAGGGAGAGGAGGTCAGAGTATTTTGATTGGCGGAGCTGCGCGTTGAGGACAGCATTGACGGTGTAAATCGTGGGGCGGCAATTGGAGTAGATGGAGTGTCGAGTGAAGAGCGCCGCCTCTTCGAGATCGTTCTGACGAATGAGGGTCAGGATCTTGTTGTGGAGGTTGAGTCGATTGCCAGAAAGCGCCGATACCGGCTCGGGTATTTTGGGGGCATTAGGATTCTGGATGGGTTTGGGTTGGGTGGGTTGCTGAGAGCGATTGAGGGAGGAGAGCGGAGGCTCGATGCGGAGGCGGCGTTTGCGGCGGCGGCGCTCCGCTGCTGCTTCTTCAGGGGTGGAAAAAGAAAGGTCTCGAAGAGTGACAAAGGAAGGAAGCAGTTGGCGGCGCCGGTGGCCGTGGACGTGGAGTTGGGCTAGGGTTCTGAGGTGGGAGAGGAAAGTGGATTTGGAGACGGCCATGGAGGAGATGCGGAGGTTCCGTCGGATCGGAAATGGGGTTTTAGAGTTCTTCGGATGAAGGGTTTTACAAGATAAAAGAGAGAGAAGGGATCATTTCCGGTTTCGGATTTTGGGCTTAAGCTGATACTTGGGCTAATTTTGTTTAGAGGGAGTTGTAGCCTTTGTAGAGCAACTGTGGGAGCCCATGTATTAATATCATATATAATAAAAGCGAAGGCCTTGTCCCGCTACGCGGGCATATAAACGTCTTGAACATTAAGTTTTAAAATGACAATAATTTTGCGAAATTATTTTAAAAATGCTTTAATAATTTGCATAATTTCTTCTATCAATCATTAATGTATATTTTACATATTAATATTTTAAACAGTATTGTGTGAAGTACAGGTAAATTTATTTAAATAGAGACATTAACACCATTAGAGTATAAATCACATAATAAAATAAGATTAAAATAATTTTAGGATTTATAGGTGTAATTCCTATAATAATACTAATTGTAATAGTAATTTAATTGATCATGGCTCTGGTTAGTAGATTGATAGTGTTGCAGTAATGATAATGTTATAGTCATTATGAGTTTGATATGTTAAACTTACTTTGTATACTCAATTTTTTTAACCATCTTGTCCCCAGTTTCACTAATTCTAGTAGTTTCATTGCTATCTGACATCAAATTCTTTGATTTTAACTTTGCAATTGTAAGAGCATATAAATAGAGCTCACCACAAAAAAAATAAAAAATAGAGCAACAAAGTTAAGAGGTTGGGTAGCAATTCTTTAGCATGGTAAACATCTTGGGCCCTCTTTACATCGCCTTTTTTTTTTCCTCCCTCTCTTCTTACCATACTAGTCATTATAAATTAATAAAAAATGAGAAGAAAATTCAAACTTTTAAGCTAGATAGTTCTCAATCAATTTATCTTTTATGTTAATTTCTCAATCTATTTAAAGAAAGTATTTAGAAATCATTTCTTCATATGCATCATTAAAAATAAATACCATCTTGTAAAAGGATCTCGAAGGAATTTAGTCATATCTCAAATGAGCTTCTTCTTCCATGGAACTCGCTGGAAAACTCTTCAGCTCACCACCTGATTCTCAACCATCATTTTGCTTCCTCTTGATTAACTTCTCTTCTTTTGATCTGCATGAAAAGCAGAGAGTAAGATCAACCCAGCACAGACTATTTTTGCCATGCAGGTGAGGAACTTTGTTGGACATTGTTGCTAGGAGCAGTTGCTGACTTTCACATCAAAACCTACATCAACATTATCCTAGATGCTTTTTCTGAGTTTATGAGACAAGAAGACAAAAGGAACTTTAGAAGTGTGTCCACTGAAAGAAGGGAATAGAAAGTACATTTTACAATGCTTGCCCTTCATGAGCAGAAAGCATACTGAAACATGAAAAGAGTGGAAAAGTTCAATTAGTTTAAGGTATAAATATAAGGAACTTGTAATAGAACAAACCTTGGGCTGGGATTCAAAATTTCAAACTGGCTACCCATGTAACCAAAATTTTAAAAACTTATAGCTAAATTTAAAAAAAGTTTAGGGATATTTTAACCTTATACTTGCTTTGAATGATATTTGGTCATTAGTTTAAGGATAATAATCTTGGCATTTAGGAGAAGCTAAGATGATCTACAATTCATGGAGTATTTAAGACTATTTTATCCATTACCTCACCTGCTTTTTGATGTTATAGTTTAATATATAAGCTTTGGCTGTTCCTTAATAACAGCAAAACCAACAAAATGCTGCCTAGCCTCTCATAGCTGACAGGCAATCACTGTTCTTCATACCATTGTCCACTTGAAAGTCATGTTCCAAGAATATTATATAGAACAAACATGATAGATGCACTTGAATCAAAATGAAATAATATTCAACTAAAATGAAAAGCATGGTAACCAACCTTGCATTAAAAATAAAAATGAAAGGAAAACAATCGCAAAGTAGAGAATGCTAGACATACCAACTTCACATCTGCTTATGCATGGCAGTAGTTGTGTTTTCATGCTTCTTCCATATATGATAATCATTACCGCCTAGAAAGATCCAAAATTTTCAAAAGCATTGTAAGTTCATATTTTTTTACTTAATGCACATGAAAAGACATAGCAAATAACAACCCATGTTTATTTCTCGAGTAAACATTGCCAAAACTCAAAACAGAAAGAATTATAGACACTTCAATCCTATGCTTTTCCATTTTTAAAGACTTTAGAAAGATGAAACCTATCCTTCTTTCTAAAGTCTTTCTTGAAGAGAAAAGAAACCAAAACTTAAGATATCAAATTCTCCTTCTCTTTGTTACCTCAGCAAGCAAGCATGACACAAAAACCTATCTTTTTTCACCTAAGAGAAAGCAGAATCAACCCTAACCCAAATGCATTTCAATGTGGTGACGTTTTTTTGGAAAGTGAAGAGAGTTCGACATCATTAAGATATCCAATTGCTTCTGAAAGTGCTGATATACTCTCTTCCCTTTTTCATTTCAGTTTAATGAAAGCAAAAGGAATTCTTCTTGTAAAAATTTAGCAAAAAAGAAGCAAGAGGAATTCTTTCTGCAGTTATGTAAATCAAAAAAGAAGATGAAAACAATAGAGAACCAACCCAGCAAATTCT